ACTTCGCTAAACAAAAGATTTAATGGGCAGAACAATGGCTGTGTACGTGCGTCAGAAATACTCCTAGTTGCTTCATACTATAGACACCGGAGAAAAGCGCCGGCCAGATGGGCTACTTGGCTCGCATGTAGACTTTACCTTTTTACCCTGGTAGAAAATATAGCCTCTTTGAGGGATTCAGGTAGCTGGTTGCAGCGCGAACAAACGGCGGAGCGAAATAAAGGAGACAAAGGCTTGCTGCGAGCAGCGAACGAACGCCTGTAATGTCGGGCAAGACACTGTACTCTCACAGTGTCTCTTCGCCTTGGTCTACATAAATGGGAGACGGCGAATTTCATGCTAGGGGGTAACGCAGGCCTACGATGGAATAGCAATTTTATCCAAGCGGAGTAGAAATACTCCTAGTCGCTAAATGCAACGGAACCCGGGATAAGCTCCGGCTGTGTGGACCTGTGTGGCCTACTTGGTCTGCAGACTTTACCTTCTTGGATCTTCTTGGCCTACAGGGTAAAAGGTTAAGTGTCTCATAGACACCGTTGCTTATCCGAGTTCAGTAGCATAGAGTGATTACAATATACCTGGATGCGGTGCTAGTCTATCGCATGGTTACCCATTGAATATGACTGAATTGTACCCGCCATTTATACACCTGAATGAAGAGAAACGCTGTCAGAGTAGTGTCTCGCTCAAGACACAACACAATCCAGCCTTCATCCTACCAAAGGCGAGCTTATTAAATGTCTTTCTATAGTAAAAACCAGACCCTCACAGCATACTTTTTCACCCTTTTCACTTCTTTTTAAGTACTTTTTATTCGTATTGCATACATTTATAACTCAAAAGGTTTTTGAGAAAACTGTCATCCAAAAATTACGTGTGGAAAGAGATCACTGCACACTATTCTTTACACAACGTTGGACGGAGACTGTCCGTGTTTGTGCTGTTCAATTGCATTGCCCGCGAGCATGCACAAGTCTGTTTCTCTATTCATAACTAGTTATGTAAGGAAAGGGCTAAGCCCGAAACATTTAGTTAACCAGCAATTATTTGACACTTTCAAGTGCCATTTGAGCCTCTTATTGAATTTAACTGTATTAACTGTGTCACGCATCTTATGAGTTTTTTGCTCATTCCTATGAGAAGTTATTATTTATACGGTTGTTTGCATTGCCGCTTCCAGAACTGAACAAACGTTTCCTTAGAAATTCGCGAAAGTCCTTCATTTGGACAAAGTAAATTATGACATCTGTTACACAGTTGAGATATGCGATACTTCCACTGCCATAGCGAGTTATGAAATCAGTTGAAAAGTCTCGGTTTGGTTGAGCTATCAGAGTGCTCACTATCGCATAACCGAGGAAAAAACAATAAGTAATGATAAAGGTGAGCGTAATGGCAATAAGAAGAGAAATTCCTCTAATCCTAACTGACCTCATCTTAGCCTTGAAGGCATTGTTCAGCGGACCATTGCCAACGTTCCTGTTTCCTCTGACCCACACTGTTTTCATCAAGCAGATGTTGATGTAAGTTATAAGTATACCCGGGAGAAGATACTGTACTGGAAAAACCACGAGTATTATTCTGAATGGGTAGAAATTCTGGTCGTTCCTGCACATGACAGTAAAATGAGTGTCATTAAGATCCACTCTTATGCCGTCATATGCAGCTGCCGGAAACAACATGAAAAATAATCCGAAAACCCACGCAAAAATGATCATTTGTTGCACTGTGGCGGCACTGAAAGTGCGTGGATTTGCACGAGTTGATAAGTACTTTTCGAGACTTATGACGACCAGATTATTGATTGTAATGGCAGGAAATACGAAGTTGAGATATCGAACCAGCTTGCAAGGCCAACCGCTTTGGAACACATCAAATAAAATCTGAACGCATAAAAAGGGAAGCGAAACTGCACAAGAAAGTATGTCTGACAGAGACATGCTTCTTACATACAAATTAAAATTTTTCATAAAACGGCTTCTTTGGATTGGATTTGATTTTGGCTTTTTCCAAAGAAAGTAAAGTAGCAGACAGTTACCGAAGAATCCTAGGCAACCAATGGTAGAATAAAGTGCACAAAGAGTCCATTTTGAAGTGGCATCAACTGGTGTGAATAGGTAGATCCGATTCAGTCGTGGGGTGCTGTCATGTAAATGTGATGAATTGTTTCCAGAGACATTGGAAACCAACGACGATGTTTCACGATCGTCATTCATGGCTGAAAACCTCCTGATCTATAAAATATCAACGGGAAAGAAAACGTAAATAATTTTAATTTACTTTTGGACTAAATGCGATCAGTCGTTTTTCTGAGAAGCAGACGAAGAAGTTGCCCTTTGAGGGACACTATCACCAGGGTCCGCGGAGACCATTTCAAAGTGGTAAGACTAAAAATTCTGCCCAAGACAAACAATTATCAGGGGTCACTGTTCCACCGATAACGCCTACCAAGACCTTGATTATTCTGGGTATCACAAAAACCGAATCTAGTAATTGTTTTATTACACATTAAACGAAAAAAAAAAAATAGAAGTCATGTTTTGCTTCTTCACTGACGGTAAGCAACACAAAGTGCGCGAACTTGACATGATTATCCTTAGAAATCATGCACCGCGGTCATACAAGACATGGTTGCCCGTGACCTTATTAAGTGCCCTTGACATGATTATTGTATAATCTGCAGCTAGATGACGTCATAGGCGCTGATTTCGAAAATTCATTGTACGCTTTCGGCCAATCACAAAAGTGATAGTGAGTCCAATGTACCTTTAAAGTGTCTACACCATAAAATCTCTGATTCTCTCATTTGAAAGTCCACATCAAAAGTGGAAGTTCTCCGTAGAAATCCCTCGACTCGAACCAAAGATGAACTTTCTATGATTTCTTTTGAATTCTACAAGTTTTTCTTCTCAGCTCTCGATACCAGCCTTGAACAGCCTTTCGTTTCGGAACATCGTATTGAGCCATCATGAAAGAAATCTCTATGTACGCACGGCCGTGCGTATATAACATGACGTACGCAGTTTCAATTTAGCTGCAAAATTTCCGTCGAGTTTAGTGCAAGTTCCTTTTACAAGGGGTTCGATATACGCACGCTAAACATGAACCAATTCTTTAACCTTTAATCCTCTAAAGCCGACCAAATCACGTGAAGAATTTAAATTGCATCATGAAGAAATCCATAAAACAATAAGTTGACACAAGAAATTTAAAACAATTTATAAAATGCACAAGGAGTATTGGGCAAATCAAATTTTCAGCAATGCGAAGTCGTAAACCGCCGCGATTTGATGATATCGTGCATAAAGCGTGCCTAAAACGTGTTTAAAACGTATTTAAACTTCTTACTGGATAAACAAGAATGTGCACTTACGCGGCAAGTGGTCCAGTGTAGTTTAACGCAACAGCCAGTGAGCGGATTCGTTGTCGATATGAGCAGTAGAGCAGTATGCGTAGATGATAGAATTAGCTGTAACGAAAGAACACTCTGCCCTGAAACACTAAATTATCGATTGTTTGTTAGAAAAGAAGCTGTCGTAAAAACACACCAAGTGAGTGTCTCGCCTTCAGCGAAGCCTTTAGAAATCACGGCCTGTTCAGGGTCAATAAGAGAAACTTTCCCATTGGTAGAGAAGCGACTTGATTCCGGTACGTATTTAGACGTCCTACGTTAAGCTGGCTTTGTTTTAAGGTTGTAACAGTGCGGAAATTAAATTGCGCACAGTCCTTTGTTAAAATGAAACAGTTTCCAAAACGGTGCGACACTGATAAAGAAAAGAAATCAGTTCTGATTTCTAAACATTGTTTTATTTTGTTCAGATGCTAATTTTGTTTTTCCGTCAGTCTTCGTGCTCCATGATTTACGCTGAGAAATTAAAGCGACTGCACGTATTTCGCCTTTCCTTGGATGATGCATGGTTTGCGATATTTAATACCTTTTGGCTTGAAAAAATTCAGTTCCATCGAGCAATTGCCGAAACTGTTGAGTGTTTAAATTACTGGGCGGGCCAAGGACTAGATTTCCGCGCCATTAACTGAAATTCAACAGCTTGGCGATTCTCCCTTATCACCCCCGCAGCTGTAGCGAAATACGTGTTTCCTACTTTTGTTGTTCTATCTCAAAGGAAAACAAAATTCAAAATATACCAGTCATGCAACACTTTCGAGTGGTATACCGCGGTGGAATATTCCACTTTCACTTGTGTTTTCTTAGTTTACACACTCGCCTTTTTTTTTTCTTATTTTATGCCATGCCATAGAAAATTCAGTGGCTAACACAATCCATGCAGCGCAGGATGGGAAGGTTGGGTGTACAACGAGTAAACAACTGCTTTCCTGCATTTTGATTGGCTGTTTCTATGGCATGGTCAGTGTAAACTAAGAGAAACCATGTTTTAATCAGTGATATCACAATTAAGTGCCAATATTAGACGCGCTCTGATTGGTTTAAACAGAGTGCATTACGGATTAGGTAGGTGAAAAACAGTTAAAATGGAAAACTTTTTTTGTCACGAAAGTGCCAACCGTTGCTGTGGGCGAAGTTTCGGGCTTAACCCTTCTTCAGGTCGATAACTTTCATATAAATGTGTTTTTTTTTTTGTTACAAAGCGCGGAGAGCTCTATAAACATTTATCATGAGAGTTCTGTGATATATAAAAATGAAATCACTAGATATTTCAATTCGTTGACACTCTCACTTCAATGGGACAATGCACAGTGCTATTGACGTCTCGGTTCTAATTTCCTTCTCTTTTGGACCTACGAAAGCAATCTTTAAATTTCCGTCTCTCTGTCTTAGTTTCAATAAAAAAAAATTATATTCGGGAAAACCACTCAGGACCGATGGCCCCCTAACTTATTATTTTTGCGGACTCTCCAGCTTTTATTTTTTAATAAACTGAGTAATGTAGCTTTATATTTACCGGTTTAAGTTCTTCTTTGCCTTTGACTTGCACCGTTAGAGACAAACCAGTCTGCTCGCTTGTGGTAGTGGGAAATCCGGCTAGGGTCTTCATATGACTTTGAATGTCTCCTTAAATAAAAGCTAATAAATAAGCAACAGAAGCAATCAGGGACGAGCTTCCGTCAGTGAACCACATGTTTACTGCGAGTCTGGGGACAAGCCACCCTATTACCCATAATGCTTCGAAAAGAATACTCACGTGCTTGAGTTGAAAACGAGGCTGATTTCACCCCGCCATCTTGAATTTCAATTCGACCTTACCTTCCGTTGAAATAATGTGTTAGTTTTTCCCTTTCTTTACCTTACCTGTACGAAATTTTGTCGCCCTCATGGACTCTGGAGAGGAAGCTATTTGTGAGGAGTATGAATCGTCCCTCGAAGACTTAACATTTAATTCTAAACCACTCATAAATGTACTCACAATGTTGGCGGAGGAAAACAGTCAGTTTGCTAAAAGTATCACAAAGCTTATTGCAAATCGTATCTACCAGGTGTGTATTATTTCAGCGATTTACTTTCTTCGTCCATGCTAAATGATCAACCAATCGATATTCCACAAAACGGCTACACTTTCAAATTGACGGTCTTTGATCAACAGGAGTTACTTATTGTAGTTAGTGTTAGGGTTGTGAAACTAAACTTTCGGTGTATTTTGCTGACTTTACAGTACATGCCGACTTTTAAGGGACGTCAAGTATAAACGAAATGCTGTCTTGACAGTTTATTTTGTTAGCAGTATGGAAAACAAAGCTGCATTTGACGTAGCATTTAGCATTTGCTATAAAGAGCAAATTTAGTGGTTCAACTGAAAGGCAACTGTTTATATTATTTCTGTTGAGTTCTGGTATAAATCTACTAGCGTTCTATCATGAATGTGGTTCTCTGATGGGCTATGCTACTCGCTATCTTTTCTGTGGTAGGTAGTGAATATGGTAGCCTAGCAGTGTGTGGTTGTTAACAAAATGGGGCTGCTTCTTTAATTTGCATCTTCATAGTGTCTGTCAAAGGGTTTTAGATAAAGTTTTGAATGACTATTAGATTTGTGCTAAAACAATGATTGCGTGTAATTTTCCCCATGTTTTTCATTAACAATTAGATTCTTTGCTTTCAATTTCTGTGATAGTTGTCTCAGGCTGCACCCTTAGTAACTACCATGCGATGGAAATCCGGAGCTCACAATAATTATTTAATTGTTGTTTAGAAACATGGGGAAAATATTGAGTATTAGAGGTACAACTTTTAGTGCACACTTTCTGATAGGATGTTCTCTAAATCATGTTGTGCATTGTGTTACGCTGGGATGATGCTATATGCATATTGTTGCAACAATTATATTACTGTTCCTTTCAATAACACACAAACTCACCCTGAACGATAATGATAATATTATTGCATACTTTGCTGCCATCAGTCATTTTACAGACCTCAAGTAACAGATGTACACTTTAGTAGGTTCTAAAGGCCTTGTGATTGGTAGATATTGATCCATTTTGTTTGTTCCTTTTTTCAAGGTTCAAATGATTGTTGCAATTACGATTTACAAAAACCAAAAACGCAGTCATTACATAGGTTTTAAACTTCAGAGAATGCATGTTATTTGAAAGGAGCATTTATGTGACTTGGTTCAAAAATTGCTAGTTACATGTAGCTTGTGTAACATCGCCTTAGGAAATGTGTTGGCTCAGTAGACCACTGCAAACTAATGCTGTTTTGATAAATATAGATTACTCTCTTTGATGAACAGTTATACAGATATATCTATTTGGTGGGTATGTCACATTCCCCAAGAATACCCACTGCAAACTGAATTGTGAATGTTGTGTTTTTTAGGCCAGAAAGAGTTAATGCTGAGTGTTTTCTTCCATGTTCTGTAGTATGAATGATTTTGGAAACATTTACTGTATAGTGCTTGTGTAATAACGTAGTATTGTTGTTTTCTGACAGGTTCCACAGCAATCCAAACTGCCATCCCTTTACCTGCTGGACTCCATTGTTAAGAATGTTGGGGGAGAGTACCTACATCTTGTTGCACAAATCATGGAAAAGACGTTCACTTGTGTATTTGAAAAGGTATGTGCTAAGAGTTTCATAAATGTTTTGAGGATACCACTATCATAAAACAAACCCTATTTTTAACTTGGATTAAAGTGGTTTCCTTGGAAGCAATGTTTTTTCTTGATAATACATACAAGTTGTAGTTTAACCTTAAACTTAGATCAGAATGTTTTCAAACTATGACATGGTCCAGAACTATTGCTATATTCAAGCCAGTTTAAAAATATATTGATATAAGTTTCGTTATAAGCCCGGTGGTTTCTTTTGGAGGTCTTCTTGCCGCTTTTTCAGTATTGTTAATATCTTTTGTTATTATTTATGTGGCAAATAAATGATGATGATGATAAAGATAACACATTTGTCCAACTACAAATTGTCACTCCTCAGTTATGCAAAACTGAAAATAATATATACAACTGTAGTTGGACTTGACATTATATTGAAGACGACCATTAAGGAAAGAAATCTTTCCATTTTATCCTTATTTATAGGCTGATGATAAGACTCGTCGTGATCTGTTCAAGTTACGGAGCACCTGGTCACAGTATTTTCCAGCAAAAATCTTGCATGATTTGGATGTTGCTGTGAACAAGCATGACCCCGGCTGGCCCATTTCTCCTGCTCCTCCACCAAGCCCTTCCATTCACATCAACCCCAAGTTTCTGAAAAAGGTACTGTTGCAAGGCTGCATGTATCTAAGATCACCTTTTTCATTATTACATTCAGAAAACACTTTTTAGTGTTGGAAATAACAGTTATTGGACATTGTCCAACTAATTTTGTGAAATTGTCCGATTAGTTTTGCATTGTGGTCAGACAGTACAATGTACGACCAAGCACCAAAATGACGTACAACTAGGCACATTTGTTTCTCCTGTTATATAACTTTTATTAAATTTAATGACATATCCTGCTGTGCTAGTTTGGGAACCTAACCCTACAGTACAAACCCAATTGGTTTAATTTTTATTGGGTTTCCTTGCCATTTATCTATATATTTACTTTTTCTATTTAATTAAAAATTGTTAATACATTTATGCAAATGTAATGGCAAGTAAAGTATAACACAATGCAACACATCAAATGTCAAATGCTATAAGGGATCAGATCTGTGACTGATAGCTGATGCTTTTTTCAGCCTTGTCTTGTGTTTGGTATAACCTTACATGTAATTATACAGTGGTCATGTCTGTAGCCTGTGTGAGAGACATAGTGGCCTAATGGCCGCCGCACACTAGCTGATTTTTTTGTCAGCCTACAAAAAAATCTTCACCTGTCGGCTAGTGTGCGGTGAATTCAGACAAGTTTGCGACAAGATTGGCGCTTATCGGGCGATATCTGACAGTGCTAGATCTCAAAACATCTTGTCAGGCCTTGTCGTCTAGTGTGCGGTGGACCAAGACAACTTGTCAGGGCTTGCGCTTGCCTCAACTAATTAGGAAATCTCATGAGAGTTGTGTCAGTGGAATTGATTTTGGATGACTTGGCCCTAAGCCTCAACATGGTTAGTTGCGACAAAAAATCGGCTAGTGTGCGGCAAGCTGATGGCCCGACAAATTTTAACCCGATTTGATCCCGACAAAAAAATGTGCAGTTCTACGACAAAAAATCGGCTAGTGTGCGGCACTCTTAATAGTTAGCATGCTGGGCTTTGACCAGTCAGGGTTCAAACCCTGGCTGGAGTCATTGTGTCAAGTCCTTACATGCATGATGACGAGACACCTTGCTCTTGCAGTACCACTCTTTACCTGGGTGTATAAATCAGTACTGATGAAATTAATTAAATGCTGTTTGTAATCTGAAATGGACTAGTCCTTACCATCCCATCAAGGGGGAGTAGCAATTCTCCTAGTTGCGTCAATTCCACAGAATCCAGGATAAGCTCAAGGGTATTGGACACTGATTTTGATTTTACCTGATTTTGCAATATGAAAGTTAACACATCACAGTGTGTTACCAAAGATTCTAGTACATGTATATTAACATGTACATTCTTAAACAACACAGGCAGAAAACACTGGGACAGTGGCCTCATTAACGGCAGGGATATCAACACCTCAAGAGCACAAGGTAGTGGAGGATCACCAACAACGTCTGCTTGAGCTTGAGCGATTACAGCAGGAGCAGCTGAAGCTGACTGAACTGGAGATCCAGGAGCATCAAATGAAGAGGGATCTTTTGCTCAAGAAACAGCAGCAAGAACGACGACTCCTTCTTCAGCAGCAACAGCAGCATATACTTCACTTGCGACTGAAGCCAGAAGATGAAGACTCTCCACTGTCTAATGGGGTGTGAAATTCTGCTGTGTACTATTAAGTTTTAAAAGTTGTGTTGTATGTTGGTCCATTCAGAATTTCTTGTGTGATCATCTTCCCCATGCCTTGTTACTGTGTTTAATGATTATTGTTATCAAGGAGCAAAGAAAAATTAATGAACACTGTACACTGTACATCTACTCAGTTGCCTGAAAGACAAGTTGGAGCCATTTCAAACTAGACCAAATTCCGGCATGTATTTCATTGGTCTTACTTATCTGGCAACTAAAAAAAGTCCAAAACATTTCTTGTTTGTTGGGTTAAAAACATTTGCTCTCTCTGTTCCCTGGGTGGGTTTGTCCATACATATACACCTTCATTTACACATTGTGATACCTTGTTGATGAGTCAAGATGAAGAACTACATGTAAGTAACATTTAATGCCTGATTTTAGAAAAAATGGACTTACATGTACAGTGTAGATGCAAGCCATTTCAAATAGTGACTCTTTCCAGTTGTAACTCTTGCTCATGTAGGATAAATAGGAAATGCGCAGTTCCAGAAAATATCCATACTCCCCCCACAGAAGGAATTGGAATTTCCTGGGTGGTGGGGGCTCTATGAGACCAAAAATTTAAAGAAATGTATGAAGCTTAACTGGAATTTCTTTAGGGGTGGGGAGTTGTTAGAAAAAATCCCTTCCATGGGGGAGGTATGGATATTTTCTGGAACTACACAATCCTGTGAACAGTGTCAGTATGATTCTTGTTCATTATTTATAAGGAATGACGGTACAATGGAATGATTGATTACATTCAATTTTTCTCTTCTGGCAGCCTTCCAGCTCACCAGGTCGTGTGCCGGTGTCAACCAAAGCAGAGTCTACTGAGAGTGTTCAGGCAACATCTAACAGTCGAGATCCACGTCTTCGTCAGCAAGGATCCGATCATATCCAAGAACCTCTGGAAATAAGGAAACCTGTTATAGCCCAAGAAAGGAAGCTGATTGATGCCCAAGGAAGTCTACCTGTAAGTGCTACTCATGGGTGCATTCCGTCTGCCATGCCAGAAATCCAGTTAAAGCAGACATCAGGCAGACCACCAGATCATCTTATTGATCCTTCACAACCTGACTTGGAAGCTCCCCAAACCCAAGAGATCAGAAGTCTTCAACACATGACTCAGGTGCAGAATCCTGTAGAAAGTGTCAGTAGGACTCATCTAGATAGGGAAGTCACAGGCAGCCCAAAGTATGGTGATTTGCAAAGACCATCAAAACCTAAACATAACCATAAAAGACGAAATTCTGGTGACTGGCCTAGTCTGTCACCAAATCACGAGGACAGACCAGATGAAGCTCCAAAGACACAAGTTTTGAGAGGAAGAGGACGGAGAGGTAGACGAAGATCTGCAGAAAAGCAACGAGAGAGAGGAAAGGGTGAGAGGGGCAGAGGTCGTGCCCGTGAACCAATGAAAAGAAGCAGAGATAACAACAATGAACAATTTCAAAGTGCTGAATTCCAAAATGATCAAAGATTTGGAAGAAGGCCTGAACAAAGGGACCCCAGACATCCAGTTATCATTGATAGACAAGTTGAAGATATTCCTCTTTTTAGGGATGATTGGAACAGTGATAAAAAAAAAAGAATTGAAAATTTTGTGCCACGTGATGAGCATCTGTTAAATCCAGACAAATGGCAGCGGGAATCCTCAGAATTTGTTCGAGGGATTGATCAATCTAGGCTGGGAATGGCTGTACCAGAGAGGCCACCCCCTAGAGAAAGACCACTGGCTAGAGACTTCAGAAGTGACGAAACTCCAATGCATGTCCGTGATGAATTTGTAAGGGCAGGAAGCCCAGGAATGCATGAAAATAGATCAAGGGGAAGTGGACCTGAGAGGAGAAGAGTTGAAAAAGCAGAACAATTTGAACCATGTCTTACTGGGCCAGAAATGCGGCCAGATCCAGACTTCCGATTAAGAGAAGAAACACAAAGTAGGGTTCGTAACCATCCTCCAAGTTCTTTTCATGATGATCCTAGGGACCAACCTGTTGGGGAACCTTTGCCAAAGAAACCAAGACCTTTGCTCACTGATGTTGAGATTAGTGAACTGCGGAACAGAAAGGGTGCATCTCCCAATACCGGAAGAATGACACCACCACAGATTCTCCAAGAAGGCTTTGTTGACCACCCTTTTGACCGACCGATGAGGGAACCCATAGATGTCCCTCCTCATCTTCTCCATAGTGATCACCCATTTGCCCGTGATCATGGCTTCCACCAGAACCTTGGTCCCCCAGGTCCTGGTATGCCAGGGGAATTTAGACCTCATACTCCTCCCATGCAGCAAGGCCCTGGAGAGTGGACTCCTGATTTTGAAATCCCACGCGAGCTCATGTTAGATCGCCAGAGTGAGATCATGATACAGGTAGGTAGACTGTAAAAGAGTTTAGACGGCACACTACAGTGAATTGTTCAAACTCTCCTTCCCATATCCATTTACATGATTTGCACTGGTCTTGAAAAGTCCTACAACGTGAAAATTTTAGACCTTGTTACATGTACTTGTGGAATTCTTGAATTTCCTCCAGCAGTCTTGAATTTTGTTGACAAGTCCCTGAGTACTCGAGTCTCCAGGACAAAAAGCAACATTTTGATTGTACATGTAACTGTAGCTGAAGTCTCAGAAAGTTGATTTTGATGATGTGGAGTTGAGTGTTTGTTATGTAAGTATGTAGTATCGAAAGTAACCCTGCAATCACTGGGGTCTTGAGTATTTTGCATTTTGAGTCCCCCCTTCCAAATCCAGTGTAAAATATTTTTTACATGTGATTTGGAGGAAAGTAAGTTCTTGAATACTGCTGAATTGTCCTTTTAAAGTCTTTCAATGGTTGTTGGAAAAAAAAAAGAGATTGTTTAATGTGTGTATGAACCATGATTAGTATAGGTAATCATACAGTTTCGAGTTCAATTTGGAATTAATTTGCATGATTGAGTTTTTCAAAAAGCTGAAATTGCATGAGCCGCTTTGGCAAGTGCAAAATTTTTCACCTTTTTTGAAAAACTCACAAGTGCAAATTAGTTCCAAATTGAACAAGTAAAACCGTATGATTAGTTATCAATAATATAAAAATGAAAAAATTTGCATGGAGGAAGTGCCGGAAGATCTTTCTTGAAGCCATTTTAAAAATTTTTTCATTCGCCATTTTTTTCAAAGTTTCCGCACAAAGTTATCATTTTACGTGATATCATTGGCTTAGAAAATTTCCTATTGCCTTTCAGCCAATTATAATCCATAATTACAATGTGTAATTTGCACTGGTGTTATGCTTGAACTGCACTGCTCTCAACCAATCAGAATTGAGTAATTTTTTCATGTATATTATTGTTATACCCTGTACAACCACCTTTACCTTTTGTTACATTTATGCAGTTAGAATGGAAAAAATGTTCCAGATTTGTTAGTAGACTGAGATGAAAAGAAAAGACAAAGATTCAACAACTACTGTACAATGCTACATGTACATGTACACAGTAGTAGTGTGCTCTTGTGAAGTCAGCATTGGGTATTTTGTTTTCTCAGGCTGAAAGACGTCTTCAAGCAGGTGACCTGACTGCGGAGCAACATCATGATTTGGTAGATAAACTTCAACAATTGTATGCACTTCAGCGGAATCCTGAACCAATGAGGCTACCTCCACAGGAGGCCAGGATTCTGCCACATCTGCAGCATCAGCCTAGACACAAGATGCCATCCAGGATGGAGGAACCTCCATTCAGACCAGGTGAAAGACCAAATTTACATGTATATCAACTTGTCTGAATTGTAATGTTAATTTGGACACTCTGTGACTAAGTAAAATGAATTAAACTCATTTGCAGTAGATGAGTGAGGGGAAAGGTGCCTGTAAGCCTGGTAGAGCCAGGTCCATTGAGCCGAGTGTGCAGGGTAACCATGGCAACCCTTTGAGCGGCAACCGTGGGGCACCATCACACTGAAATGTATCAGTGGAAGTAAAATACTTACATGTACCCTGTACTTACCTGGGCGAGGGATGGACTGGGAGCAAAGCCTTTGAAAGCAATGTGAAATGTTCCGCAATATGAGCGAAATAGCCTGACTTCAACAGGAGAGCTGTAAATTTACCAATGTATGTGTTATACCTCTACATGAACACAGTTGATTCATTTATGTCTTCAACAGGAAGGCAACTGGTTTTCACAGGCAGGTAAACATTTTGAACTGAACTTCTCTATAAAATCTTTCCTCTATCTGGTCAAACCAAGCAGTCAAAATTGTCCTCACAGCTGGTCAATTTGCCCGTGCTGGCCCTTATTGAAACCCCTCTGAACATTTGCTATTGCTATTTTCCATTCAGGGGGACCAATAGACATGCAAGGACCTCCTACAGATGTGGGCCCTGGGAGACCAATGCTGCCAAGGTTTGATGATCCTTCAGAGCACCCTAGAATTCCACGCAGAGGTGCTATGGAACCTATAGGTCCCATGAAGAGGAATGATGGCCCCAGATTCATGACCAATGAACCTGAAATGAGAAGACTTAATGAGGACTTCAGAGGGCCACTGATGGAACATGATCTTAACTCACATGGTAGAGCTATGCCAATGGGAGCCCCTCCTATGATAGCTGATAGGCCATTTGAGGGCAATCCAAGGCTGGAAGGTGGTCCAAATCCTGGTTTTGTGCATGGAAGACCTCAGGAGGAGATTCCAAGACACCCTTCCAGTCGTGAACCTGGTTCAGGATCAGTCGTTACACCAAGTACACCACCAAGACAGGACAAAGGTATGTAAACACTGTAAAAAACATACTTACTTTGTAATGCAAGACTGCAGCATGCAATGCGATGAAATATTCTGACTAAGTGAGATACATGTAGAGGTCAGAGCACCTGTGTTTGTGTTTCAAATGTCATAAGGTTATTTTCCTCATCCGGGTCTAAAGTAATGTTTTTGTTCCAAGTAACAAAACAATTGTCCTCTGCTGCTGTTTACAAGGCTAAAAAATTAAACATTAAATGGAAAACGGAATGTTTGATTAATTAAGTCATCTTCAGGGTGAAAGACCATCTGCTACATGTATATTTTGTACAATATTGCTCAGAAACATTCAGTTTTCCTTATAATTTTTAACATTTAAGCCATGTAAATACCATCTTAAATTATGGACAACAAACTTCTGGTTGATGATTTTATTTATTTGCGTCACTGATCTGCTTGATAGTGTGTTGTTAATTGTATGGAGAAATTGGAAGTAAACTACCATGCTGTAATAATTAGGAATGAAAGGGCTTCTTTTTAGTCACTTTGACAGCTTATCATTTAGCACTGCTTATTCTTAAGGTTACAAATTTTACAAACAGAAGATGCTATAAACTAGAAATACAGTTACATCAAGTACATATCTTTTATTGATAGAGATATGATTTAATTGGTGTCCTGCAGCCAAAGTGGTAATTTATGGTGATGATGATGATAACAATGAGTTGATGTGAAACTTAACTGGTTCTTATTTTCACTACTCTATGAGCCAGCGATTTTTTGGCCTCCATCAAGTCTCTGTCCCAAAAAATAATCTGTCTTTATTTTTTGGCAGGTCCAGAAGCCCCTCACACACCAAACACCATGATGGAAAAGAAAGCTGTAGATGATCTCTTCCGCAAGCTGATGCAAGTGGGGATCATTAAGGTGACCCCTGAACCTGGCAATGCGTCTCCACGACATGTACCTTCACAAGGACCCCCTCAGCCTGAGATTCAAAAGCCCCAACCTCTTCCTGCCGGGCCTGTTTCTATACCAGGTCTTGCTCTATCAGCCGCGGCAGTCCCCCAGAAAGAACTCCCAAAAGAAGAAAAACCAATCCCCTTGATAAAACTTGTTCCAGAGGAACTGAAAAGGTAACTTTATTGCGCTGTATACATTGCAGATGTGTATTGTATCCTTTCTCAAGTCAATCAACCACGTGGCTTTGAAGATAGGGTAACATATCACTTCAACTTTAACTGTCATTGTATCCCACAGGCGTCACGATGGTGTGATTAGCAGTCTGTATGATGGAACGCAGTGTTCATCCTGTGGACTGCGGTTCCCCGGAGAAGCTGCAAAGATCTACCGTGAACACTTGGACTGGCATTTCCGTAAGAACCGTCGAGAGAAGGACGGCAGAAGAGTGGCACACAGACAGTGGTTTTACACTGTCAAGGACTGGCTGAATTATGAGGAGATTTCTGATCCAGAGGAGAGAGGTACGGTTCAGCCATCTTTGGTTTTGTTTTTCCTCTAATGTTCCAACGGTGGCTCAACTTTGCACTGCAATAAGTTATTGTTCCCCTCATACATGTACATGTACATAGCAGTTTTTAGGGATACATCTTGCTCAAAAGCAAATCCCCACTCGTGTGTTTTTTTGTTTTGCTGCCCTTCTCCTCGGAGATAACTCGTAAAGAGTTTGTTTGATTGTAGAGAAACTGTTAACGTCGCTTAACTCTCGCTACCAGACGTGAGTCAGTTTTGTAATATAGGCAGTGTTAAATCTGTGTATGAAACTCTAGTGTGTGAAAGAAATTGAGCAATACTTTCATGTGCTAATGATAGTTGTAAAAAGTAGTTAAACGTTTCATTCAGTAGTTAAAACTCTTGTTTGCAACCATTTAGTTGAGGCTGTTGAGCCGGAAAGTACATTTCAACAGAGGAATATTTTTGTTTTCTTGTTCATACAGCTCGAAGCTCCTTCTTTGATGTTAATATGGGGGCAGTGGATTCTCCTACTCCTCTGAAGGAGAGTAAGGAAGCAGTCGGAGAGGGCAGCTGTCCTGTGCTTAGTGGTGACACTGAAGCTGAAGCGGTAAGGGTGATCAGTTAACTCTCATTGCTAGGCAACCTTTTGATCTTGACATGTGTTAAGCCACATCCTCGTACTTTGTTTAGGAATGTGACATTTGTTGCGAGAAGTTTGAGCAGTTCTGGGAGGAGACTAACGAAGAGTGGCATTATAAGGCAGCTGTGCGCATTGATGGCAAGGCAAGTTTCTATCTACACACTGCACTTTTGCTAGTTTAAAGTGTCTTGATTGTTTTTGAGATCGGATAATGAGGTGCTTGTTAAAGCATTTGACAATATAGATTAAAAGTATTGTCAATCGACGTTTCGATGCATCAAGCATCATCCTCAAGATTGAGGTTGTTATTGCCTTTGACATTAGCATTAACCACCTCAGTCTTGAGAATGATGCTTGATGCATCGAAAAGTCGATTGACAATACTTTTAATCTATCATTATTGTTTTTGTACTGAGAATTACATTTGTATTGCAGACTTACCATTACCTTTGCTATCAAGATGTTAAAGAGGTGAGTTAGTGTTATCATTCTTTTTTACAGTAATTGCTGTTTCATTGTGTCTTGGCACGATTTTTGTCATTGTAAAGGTTTATCATTACTCCTGCAATGTAAAGAAAAATCCTCTTTTCCTGTGTGCTTCCTCCTCTACTATGTTTCCCTTGTTACTATTTTTGCAACTCTCTCGTAAACAGACTAGTAGTAAATGTGAGATTGTCGGGTTTTCTAAATTAAACTACTCGAAGGTATAAATCAAAGTTTGTGTTTGTACCCCGTTAGATCGCTTGACAGATAGTGTTCACTTTCATAACAGTCAGGGCTTGACACTAACTTTGTTCATCACTTTCCTCTTTGGAAAGTAGATTTCAAAATTTACTTTACATCTCAAAATTTTACTTTCCAAAATGGAGTGCGTTATCGTAGCTGCTAATTGAAATAGGCTCATTTTTTTGCGGGGTCCTTCGCCATACATATCTGCCATAGGCCGGAGGAGGAATGCAAAATGGTGGTTTCGATTGCATCACACCACGTGTATGCTCGGCAGCTTTCTCGGTACTCCAATGTGGTGGTGGTGGATCGGTAAATACCAGAATGATGTAAAATCGTCCTTTTGAAGACGGCAAATCATTGTCGCGTGGTCATTTGTATCATTTGATATTTTTTGTACACACGTAAGAATTTTAGTGTTAAAGTTACCATCAAGCATAACCCAAAATTTACTTCTCAGATTAGGTAAGGGTAAGTATATTGGTTCATTTTCGATTGCTTTACTTTAAGAAGCAAATTTACTTTCCAATTGAAAGCGGGTAAGTGTTAGTGTCGAGCCCTGATAACATACCTTTTGAATCTTCCAGTGCATTGCTTTGAACGAATATGTGTATATTTACGTTTTTGCCTGGCTCTGCCGCTGTCTGTTCTCTCCAATACTGAGTTGTAGATATGGTTTTAGTAACATTAAATACCGTATTGACGTTTAATTGTCTTGCTAATTCTTACATATGTCTGATGCATGTGCTGAACTGGACAGAGTTTGTTTGGTATGCAGCTGATGCAGCAGCAGCAGCAGCAGCAGCAGCAGCACAAGTCTCTAAAGATCTGCGAGACTCTCCTACCTAACGTATTTCTGCGTTGTTTTTCCCTTTTTCTTTGTTTTGAGTATGGTGCGATTGTGGTTTTTGCTTGTTTTGCTTTGTTTTGCTTCCAACTTGTGCTATACAGAACCAAGTGCATACAGAAGAAGATGATAATGACGAGGACGAGAAAGACGAGGAGAAAATGGGCGTAGATGTGGAAGAAAAATCTCCGGAAGAGGGTGAAGCCAAAACAGAGGTCAAAGACGAGGGAGGTAACGAGGATGAACCGGAGATTCCGGCAACGAAGGAGGCGAGCGAAATCAAACCGTTAGAAGAAGAAAAAAAGACTGATAAATCAGATGCAGAGTCTTCCGACAAAGACTCGTGTAAGGTAGAGCGCGTGCTTAGTGTGTCTAGTAATGCTATTGACAATAAAGAAAATGAAACAAAGGGTGATGATAAATAGTCACTCTGTTGCGGGGCATTGCCGTGATCGTTCCGTCCGTCAATAGCCTGTTCAAACTGCCACTAACGATCAAACTCCGGCAAAATCACATAGGTTATTCTGTTGTTTATCAATCAACCTCCCTTGTCCGTCACTGATTTTTTTTTTTTTTTTGGTGAGCTCAACTTGGTAGCATAATATTTTATTCCTGGCTTGGGACACTGACTGAGTGGTTCGAGTTGATCGTGATCTGGCTTGATTTGAATTTTTGGGAGAAAAATGAGTGAAATGAATGTCATAGATTTAATTGGTTATTGTATTATAAATGTGCACCTTCCGAAATGTTTTAGTTTTAGTTCCCTTTTTCTTGCTTAACAATCGAAAACCTCGTAAGGTTTCGCTGATTGCCTTGGACCAATTTCTTTGATCCCTTTGAAGCGATTCTTGCGCGCCTCGACAGCTTTAGCAACACTACTTTTATCGCGGAACGCCCATGATCAGAAATATTCGAAATCGATCAAGAGTTCGTGGTCTTTCGGATAGAATGAAAGCAGTTTGATCAGGAGTCCTTGAGCGTACTCAAGGATGAGAAAATCCCTGAAAGGGATAATTATCCATTAGCAGTGTGAACTACTGCTCCGATGTACAATCCCTCGAAACAGAGGAAATAAAGAAATTCTCAACTTGTATTGAAGTGTGATTTTATTATAGAGTAACATTAAACTCTCTGAAAATAAGTAATGAAGATCGAAGTTTTCTCTACAAGGAAAGTTCATAGAGTTGTAATTGGTCTACACTTGCTACGTGAACTCGTGAAATGTTTTCAAACAAGATGTGATGCAGGCACAAACGGTACATATAGCTTGCGAGTTCTACGTGCTCGTGCAAGGAACACATGCATTTTCCACGCGCGTAGGCTCTAACTTAGTGTGCTGTATCTGCCCCTACCTCGCTCTGCAGACTACAGACTTAGCCACTTTTACGCGTTAAACCTTGTTTTAGAACATGAACTTTGCTGTAACGATTTTCCAGTATTTGATGGATCCTTATGTACACTTGACCTCGATGCAATGAAGAATAAAACATTTTGAACGCAATTTGTTGTTTTTTTGTTATAAACTTACTGTTAGCTTCTACTTTCTCGAAACGTCTCCTTATGGAGTATCCATCACAAAGGATTCTACTTTATCTCGGAATTTAGTGGCAGATCGATGTTCTCGATGCATTGAATAAAACATTCCGAACGCAATTTTTTTCATGGTTGTTACAGGTCAAGAAATGGTCAGGGAAAAGAAAAATTCTTCAAGGTCAGAGAAAAGTCAGGGAAATTTCTTTTGAATCAGGAAAAATTGATGATATTTTGAAGAAAAGTCGGGGAAATTTGAAATATTTTAACACGGCTGAGTTAATACCATTGAAGGCTGGAAGAAACAATTGGGTTCACTGGGATCTCGACGATATTTTTCGTCAATGAAGAAGAAAAAATTGTTGAAAACACATTAGCCTTTAAGTGAACGAGTAGAAAGGAAAGCCGTAAGTTGAGGCTAGAAGCCGCAACTAGATCTGACATTGTGTATTTATTTGATCTGCGGAATCTTATTTTTATCAGGGAAAAGTCGGGGAATTTTGAAAAGTGATGCCTGTGGCAACTATGTTGGTCATCTCTGTGTTTGTCATCTCACGTTAGTTTCCATTTTCTTGAAACTTTTCTCTTTCCACAACAAAGGACTCGAAGGAAACGGTAACACGATTCAGTTGAAACGAGAACAGTCTGCAGTCTGCATTTTACCTTTGATCTGCAATCTGCATTTTATATAATTACCCTCAGTCTGCATTTTACCTGGCCGGTCCGCAGTCTGCGTTTTACACTCACCGCAATTTGAGCAAAAGTTAGCGCAGCACTGATACAGGGACCACGGAGAGGGAGGGGCTGGTAGGGCTATAGCCTTGCCACTTTTTTGCTTGCGTTGGCTTTTTAGGGCTCTAGATGACATGGTGATGGATAACCTATGAATTTTACCACTTGAAAGTAACAACAGCGGAACAGTGACCCCTGATGCTTGTTTCATCTTGGCCAGATTTTGTAGCCTTGCCACTTCAAAATTGCCTCTACGATCCTGGTGGCGGTGTCCCTTCATAAAGGGCAACTTCTTCGTCCCGTTTTTTTTTTTTTTTTTTTTTT